GCATTTGCTATTATTTATGACAAATGAGAATTAGCAACAAATGCGATTGTAAACTGATAGAAAACCACTCTAAATCTAGAAGAAATTAGGTTTTATTAGTCGAAGTTTTATTACAAATAACTATTCTTATTCTTGTTTCCAGTAAGAACTGTTTACATAAGCAGTATTCACACATAGCTGAGAATACTTTCTTTTTTTCTATTATGATTCTCTGGGGAGTCGATGGAGCTTCAAGAGCTAAAGATGCTGTACATTTTGAAACTCAATATCAAGTCTCGGTATGTGTATGTCTGCTGGTGAGTTGTTTGAGGGTGGCAGCAGATACTTATACCTGAAGTCATGTAACTGCTCCGTAACGTTCCGGTAGTGGAGTAACTGTTTTTCATGTAGGTTAAAAAGGTGGATGTAGGTAGAGGCGGCGGCAGGATTTTCATTTAAAGAGGGCGAAACCCCCAGAATTCGATATTTTGGTAAGAAAATCATTAGTTTTCGATGAAAATTTTAAAAAATCTGAGGAGGCTCAGCACCCCTTGGCGCCGCCACTAGGTGTAGGTGTGGGTGGCACGCTTAGCAAGCCTCGCTGGGAATTTACTATTGGATCTAAATCTCATGCTTTTGTAGTATATTCTGATTCTATCTGGAGAAGTAGCTATTAAGTATGATTCAAAAATTTCATTAAACGTATTCGCTTCACTTGATGAATCTAAATGAGACTTGAATTTTTTCCAGTATACGAAAACAAAGTCGATTAGTGATTTTTCCCTCGATAAAATCATGGAGGTTACATCTTCCCATCCCCATAGCGAGTAAATCAGTCTGATGCCAGAAATATAAACATGTTCGATCTCGTTTCTTTGACTTTCAGTGAAAAAGAACCAAAGAGGTAGTAACCATATAAAATGGGGCAGTGCGAAAGCAAAGAATAGTAATCTACGTTCATCAATATCTTTTCTATTAATCTTATGATAGATCTTTCTAAGTCCGGCGTATATATTTCTTATCTTCGTAATGCGCGTTCGTATAAATTCGCTTCAATGTAGCTTGGGCCTTATCTCTACTCCCAGATATTTAAACTTTGATACGTATTCGACTTTCTGATTCTTAAAATAGATGTTAGGATGTCTAGATGCTACTGTGTTATGAAATAGCATTGATTTCGTTTTATTTATATTCACAGGTAAGTTGAGAATACTTTCTCAATTTTCTTTATTGTCGTTTTTTTTGTAGTTCACATTTCTTTCGAAGGTCGAGCGAATTTGTTTGACTTGAATTCGTATCAAAAGATAAAAATTTGTGCACCGTTTTTAATAACTATAGCTCATCGATTAAATATATTTTGTTTTTATATGTTCGTGTTATTTAGTGTGGAGAACTACAGGAAGTATGAGTACTGCACGGGCATATTACGCAGGATCGATGTTGAAGAATGGAACAGTGTTAGTGGCAGGTGGGCATAATGGTGCAAGTTATTTGAACAGTGCTGAATTATATGACCTATCAAGAGGTAATTGGACAATAACAGGAAATATGAACTTCTTTCGAAGATCTCACGCAGCATCCGTTTTGCTAAATGGAACTGTGTTAGTCACAGGCGGACACAACACTAATTTTCTGAACACCGCTGAATTATATGATCCATCAACAGGTAATTGGACAACAACCGGAAATATGAGTATGATACGAGCCTACCATGCTTCGCTCGTCTTACAAAATGGAAAAGTCTTAGTTGCAGGTGGACATGATGGTTCTACGTTTCTGAACAGTGCTGAATTGTATAATCCGTCAACAGGTACTTGGACAACTGTAGGTAATATGAGCTCTCCACGAAGATTACCCTCATTAATCATGTTAACAAATGGCGTTGCATTAATGGCAGGTGGATATAGTGGTAGTGTTTTTCTGAACAGCGTTGACTTATATAATTCGTCAACACAGACTTGGGTACCGACCGGAAATATGAATGCTGCGCGAGGAGTTTTTACAGCATCGACATTACACAATGGTTTGGTGCTCGCTGCAGGTGGAAATAGCGGGAGTGGCTATTTGAGCAGTGCTGAATTATATGACCCATCAACAGGCGTTTGGAACATGACAGGCAGTATGAATAATCCACGAGCACAGCATACAGCATCGATCTTACCGAATGGAATGGTGCTCGTTGCTGGTGGATACGACGGTGGTAGTTATTTGAACAGTGCTGAGTTATATGACCCGTCAACAGGTATTTGGACAACAATAGCAAGTATGAATGCTTCACGAGGGTATCACATAGCATTTGTCATAGGCAATGGAACTGCGTTAGTTGTTGGTGGACTTGTTGGTAGTAGCTTTCTCAACAGTGTCGAATTGTATTGATGCGGTTTTAATAGAAAACATTTTGTTCCATAACCTTAATTATAAAACTCATTGTTGTGTTCATATTATTTATTTATCATTGTTTTTAATTCTTCAATTTTTAATAAATGATATTCAATTACTTTCAAAGAATCGAAGCCCTTTGATTTGAAGGTGTGACTGTTACTGGGACTGTCAAGGTCTGACACCGGAATATTTCGCAAGACTGCCAGGAAATGTTCACTTTTTAAGTATTTAAAATGCGATTTGTTCTTAATTATTGTTGAAAGAGACATCATAATTGATTATCAAAGTATAAATGATATTCTGCTATCCTCGCCCGTTATAGAATTGTATATGCCTGGAACTAGTGAAATCACTTTCACCCTATCCACATTTTATGAAGAATTCCACGAGATATCTGAACGATGTAAATTCTGAGACTCATTCATTCATTTTGCAGACTGTACGTTATGATAGAGAAACGATTTATCCCTATTCAATTAAAAGTACAAAATATAGATTAATTTGTGAGATATTCTCGTCATCGTGTGTCACATATGACTCATCATTACACTCTCGATGTTGTCTCGTGATCGTTCGACATCTTCGTTTTCTCTTTCCACCATGAAAAAAAAAAGAAAAGCAGCATTTTTTGTTGTTTTATCGGGCACATGCTTTCTAATCATTGGCGTTCTTACATCCTTTTTTCTCTCATCCCATTTCCGAGGTCGTAATTTCGAAAACGCACAAAAATGCAAAAGCTCGGAATGACATCCAAATCTTCTTTCGGCGAAAAAACAAATCAACAAAATAAATCTCTTCAAATCCATCGTTGTGCATTCGATGTTTTACTCGATTCCTTCCTTCCATCATCATTACTGCCAAAAGATGAATACGATCCCTGTATTTGTTACTATGCATACGTTTATTTCGATCGAAACAACTATTTAACATAAACAAGTTCGTTTTTAGTCTTCAATCGTTCGTCAACGCCAATTCTTCTAAAAAAAACCGCCTATTCAATCTTCAATCAGAGGTAACTCAGTGAAATTACATTGAATTTTATTGAATAGTCAAGAACTTATCATACCGGGAGAGAAACTGAGCTTGCAAATTGACATTCTTAATCCGTTACAACAAATGATCAAGTCAATTCGAATTAAACTTCAACAATATCGATTGATTATTGATCGACAAACCGATTTGAATGTTTTCTCATTTCTCCTACCTGGTTTACGATCGAAAATGTACATTTGGACTATCCATTCCGTTGGACAAACATCGACTCATGCTATCGGCATCGTATCTTAAACATGTTCAATACGAATTACAGATTGAATGTCATTTGAATTGATCATAGCGAGAAATGATTTGGTATTGAAATTCCCGATGACTTGTACGATGGGTCATCCATGGAAGTAGAACGTTTTCGAAGAATTTCAATCGATAGCGGAAATGATTGAATATCGATTGCGAAATCAAGAGGATAAACAGCCACAACGAGTTACGAAGACTTTGTCGCAAGTGAAATCTTACCGAAATACAAAGAAATTATTTAGTAAAAATAAATTTTCTATCAGGATTATTTGAAATAGTAACACCTTTGGTATATTAAAATAAATCCAATTCTATCTGAATACTTTAGTGAAGAAACACTCGCCTCATAGTGTTATTTGATCCCATACTCATTTATTGAAAATATACTTGAACAAAAGAAAACCGCCTATATATGCTAGTAGGATAGTAATCGAAGTTCGGAATATGCTGCAGAGTTCTGCGCGCCTCTCTTTGTTGGAACAAGAAAGCGAAAAGTTGAAAATCGTAGAAAAGGACCAAAAAGTGGTTGTATTGTTCCCCACTGACCTCTTCCAGGATCTGAGAGGAGTCCTGAAGATCCATTATAGATCAATGTCCAACTCGATCCTGAAGTGAGAGACGATCCACTGGAATTACTTCCTTCGATCGTCATTAACAATGGATCACGTAAAGAACTATGAATACTTGTACCTAAACGAAACCCAGCAAGAATCATCGATCCAGATTGAGGTGTGAAGTAGAAACCAGTATTTTGTCCGCATCGTGACAAATACAAAGAGATATTACATACACCATGACTTGTAAACTCTGTAGTTAGGTTGCCATCGAAGATATTCACGGCTGATTGAGCAGGCCAATATGAACCAGGCTGATAACCAGAATAAGCAGCTAGACTATTGTCACCAGCTGTAGTGTTCCAAATCGGATGCAAAGTCTCGTTTATTGGTGTCATAATTGTTATATCTAGAAGGAAAATAGAAAGATTTTTCGTATAAATGTCGCTTTTCCTCATTTCTACGAACTTGTCGAGCTTCGATTGTTGAAACTATACACGTTTGTATCGATATTGGTTGTCACCAATTTCAATTGACCTTGATTGAGATTTGCGAAGAAAAGAATACAGAATTGAGCTTTGGAAGAATAAATCAGTGTGGAACAAAGTGGATTGGACGAACATTGACAAAGACATGAATTAGTTGAATTGATGGATGAAAGATTACTTAATAAATAACGAGAATCAAATGGAGAGAAATATGCATTTCGATACAAAGTTATCGGAGTTGTCATTACGAATGGAATCAGAAAAATAAGAATGATCGATGAGAACATGATTGTGACACAGTTTCTTTGAGTTATGTTCTATTTACTTCTGAATATGTCACAACAAACTGGCGAACAGCATACTAATGGCGCATATTAGAAAGATTGTGGGATATTTATCGTTTCTTTCGAGATTCTCGAGTGCCATTAAGAATTTTATCGACAAAAGCACATTTAAGCGTTTGAAATAGTAGATTTTTTTTTGTCAAATGGAACTTTTCTTCATTTATTTAAGTATAATTATACACGTCGTTTTATTTGATTTTCCTTTTGTAAAAAATATATACTGTGTAAATCAACGTAAGAGACTATTTCAGTGGTCGCATTAAATCGTCTACAAAATCAGAATGACGCAAATTTTCTTCTTGAAAAACAAGAGTACTTTAAAGATGAGAATGTAGCTGTGGGTCAGACTGGTATGCAAATGTGCTGCTCTGACTTCCTTCATCGCTATAAATAAATTTATGCGAAATATTTGTAAGTCTCCAATCGATTGTCTTTATATCGCTGTGTTACAAGAAGGGCATTTTATGTTCAATAGCGGATCGTAGTTGACACCTTTGAAATAGTTTGGAGCATTGCATGGTTTACAATTAATATGTTGGAAATATTTTTGACAATGTTGACACGAAATAACCATTTTTTCGCGATAGAAATTCTTCATGTCAGTCAACTTGTCGCAATGGGGACAGGAGAGAGGATGTTTGAAACTTCGTTTACAACTAGTACACTTTATCACACATCCATGTTGATATTTGTGGAATCAACTGTACCACGAGTTTAAATAAAAGCAATGTGAACAGAACACTTGTTGAAAAAGAATTGTGACACGACAAACATTTGCTTTCAAGCGTTTCCGCCCAAAATACAGTAGAATACTGCGGTTCGCAACAAGCTGGACAATTCACATGATAGAACGACTGTCTACAAGTAAGATATTCTAATCAATCCAGATTTGTATGTACCATTGACATAATAAAGAGCAGTTTTACAAGAGAAGCAATTTAATAATTGAAATATCTTTTTACACGTCCAGCACGAAATTGGATCTTCCTGGTAATAGGTTTCATTGGAAAGATAATTTGTTTCAGTGCAATGCGGACAATTCATGTGTTGAAAGGATTTCTTAAATTTGAAACATGTTCGTTTCTGTCCACATTGATAATCTGTTCCTTTCCAAATATTAGCAACATTACACATTGGATATTGGGCATATTTAAACTGTTTTGTGCATGACCAGCATGTTAATGTTGCTATCCTTGTAAATTCTGAATTGTATTCCAGAAAACTGGGGTTTTGCGATGTGGACACAGTAGTTTTTGGAACTGTCTTTGGCATGAATTGCAAGATGTCAATAGTCTATAGTTGTAATTAGCATTTTTACAAATATTTACCGATGAACAATATGCACAAGTAATTGTCGTACTGGTTCTTGTGCAGTTGGAGGCGATGATGTGTTTGGTATTAGTGTAGGATGAGTCATACAATTGTTTCTTCTTCCACGTTGTGCTTCCAGCTGTTTCTTCTTGAAAATTTCGATCATAAATTGAACGAAAAGTTCATCGTTTTTCATTTGGTCTTGCCAATAATCCATTTCCGCTTGGTCATTTATTGTTTGGAAACCTTGTAGAGGTACCACCATTGAAGTCATATCCTGAATTACCTCCTATTAAAGGATCGATGAAGATCGAGAAAAAGGTAGGAGGATAGAACGAGAGAGAAAGAAAGAAAGAGTTTGGTTTAAGAGAGAATACGTCTTATCACTAAGTTGTATTTTGAAAAGTGACAAAACGCATGTTCAACAATTACATCATGATGGCATCGATTATAATTACCAATCTGTAGAAATCAATGCCGACGAGCATATTCGTCGATGTACATACACTAGATGATGTCTTATACGAAGGTTCCATTGTTTTGAACAATGGACCATGCGTGGGTTATCTGCAGTCATCGAATACAATCAAATGGTTATCCTATTCCAAAGCGATTGAACGAAGTCTTTGTATTGGTTCTTATTTATGGACAACTGCAAGGCTTACACCGATGCAATCGAACGTAGCGATTCTTTCGTCTGTACTAGCTATCGATAACGTTGAACGCATTAAATCATGTCAGAACGAATTACTACGAAATGATTGAATCAGAATGATCATTGTTATGGATGATATCACCACTCCTACTGAGTATATCTGACAATAAAATTCAATTTCCGGAAATTTATTCTAGTTTCTAACATCATACAATTTCCCGGCAATCGCTATAACGCATCATATGGAAAAGCTAGATGATCACAGAATGAATTTTGGATTTCTTCATGTTGACGCTCGTTTACTTTCTTCGAGTGGTACATTTCGCATCTGAATTACATTCGAAGTGCTATCAACGATAATCAAAGGACTCAAATCAGCCATGACTTTTTCTGTTTGTTGAGTATCGTGAATAATTGCTTCTTCGAGAAAAATAGCCTGCCAGTGAGGAGACGAACAGACAATGTGAGAATCTTCCCATAAGCTTGGACAAATTCATCCGAAGCATGACTTCATTCACTTGTCGTCGAAGATATTTCATTTACGCGCGAACTTGTGAAACGATGATGTTGATGGTTTCCACCGACAAGAAGTTCCATTGGTAACTAAATGCGCTGTTTGTGTTAATGTGGATGAATGGGTGGGAAATGTTTGAATAGCTGTTTGAAATAGCTCCCGTCGATCGGGAGCATCTGAAAAAGAAAATTTTCATTTGCATATTTCCAGCGAATTAAAAACCGATGACCAGATGGAAGAAGTGCTGCTTCTTCTCGAAGAGTTTTGGCCGGCGATGTGATATCGATAAAATCATTCGACACTTGATAGATATGTGATAATGAACGACTGATCATGACTCATTCAGGCCCATAGATGGGCTGGGATATCACTAGTGAGAAATTTACCAATCGTCATCATTGCAAATCTTTGTATTTCAATAGCATATGCGTCCGGAGATCGTCGAGAAGCATGTGTAATGATCGTTCAGCTAGTGCTCCTTGTGTTGTTGGAGAAGTGGTTAACCAATTTTTTGCTTGAAACGAAGGCTCTCGATAGTTTCTGAGAGTGGGAAGGGCTAGAATTTTTGACAGACACATGTTTTTACACAAATTTCTCATGTATAAGAGCATGGTTCTCTATTGCACGTTGCAGGCGAAAAATTGCTTGAGTTCCCGATCTTCGACAGCGTTTTAGACAGACAACCTGGTTCTTTAGAAGATTCAATAGGTGTTATAATTGCTAGAATTCGACAGACACTCTATACATTGTACATCGAGAATTGACCGCAGATTCTGCATTGTCTGCCAGATTCCGCAGACAGATATTGAAAAGATTTTCGTAGTCACATCGGAAAAGTGGGAAAGGTTAGCCCACCCCATCCCCTCCCACATCGAGGTGTTGCTTGAAACAAACGGTTACCCAGAGTTTGCTAACCTAAGGAATGAAATGAAAGAGAGAGAGAGAGAGTCTGAGGAAAAGAGAAGTCTTCTACAAGTAGCTTTTGAACATTGTGTTGTTCATCTTCACCGAGTTCATCACTCATTTGATTCCCAAGATAATCACGATTTTCTATGAATTGAATAATGGCATGACCATCTACGGACAGTCGATGACGTTCTTTTGTTGGTGAAATGTATTTCAGAAGAAGAAGATCTAGCCCATGACGTTCACTTCCAATTCGATTATTTGAAGATCTGATAGATGAATATCCAAATGAAATCTTTCCCGTTAAAAGACAATAATCAGTACCCTTGTCCTCTTGATCAATGTTCTCCAGATGGACTAATATCAGTGCATGATTCCATTTCGATGATCCTACTTGAAAAAAGAATTCTTTTCCTTTTGGAGAAAAACATCGATTGTTCGTTTTCTACTGTTCATCAGTCGATTCTGATGGTTGGGATCGTTTGGATGAGAATGTTGTTGATTGTTTTATTTGTTGAGGAAAAAAATGAAAGAGATGATGAAAATGAAAATGTTTGTTTGCTAAATTCCAATCATTGAATCAGTCGTCGCGAGCAAGTAAACCACAAGGAGAAGAATCATTCTTGCATCCATCAATAAACTAAATGAAAGCTGTCCCTAATTTGATCTCTTGTATTTGATTAAACTCACTTGGTCTCGTTTCAATTGGTTGTTTCCACTAACAGTGTATCTTTCAATCAATTTTTTCGCCGAACGATTTGCATGATGATCACCTACCATAATCAAGTAACAATGTGTCTATTTGAATTTTTGTGAACAATCATTTTACCTTGACCATCCGTTTGACCGATGGCTTCCAACAGAACCTAGAGAGAAAAAAAACCGTTAGTTCTAATTTCATCCAATCATTTGACTTACACTAATCGCTCGAATCACATCACAAGTATGCACTAAAAATCGAAATCATTTTTTGCGAGGATAACGAAAATTAAATCGAGAATATTCACTGGTGTTGGTGTTATCAGAATCGAACAAACTGAAGGCCAAACCATACCGCAATTGAAGGTCATGACATTGTCTCAATCCTGTTGCTACCATCAATTCGTGAAATTCGACTTAATCAAAGAAAATGAAGTTAATTGAAGGAAATTCAATTCCAATTCATTATTACTTGTTTCAGAATCCTCACGATCAAACAGCCCAAACGTAAAACTACAGAAATCACTAGATTTCCCATCGGAATAAAGCTGGTCGTAGACTTCAACGAATTTTTCCTTCTTAATTTGACCATTGGGACTAAAATAAAAAAAGAACAGTTGACGAAACAAAACGACGTCATTGTTTACCAATGAAGGAAGAGATTAAAGTGCTAATTCGTAATTTCGTCGTCACTTAAGTGTGTCGCGGCCTTTAGCATTGATATTTTCCTTCCGGCAAGAGTGCGACTAAATCAGATTGCAGAAAATAGATTTCCATAAAACGATTCGAAACGATCCAAAGATCCGAAATTATCGAACGGTATAAACCGATCGAACGATCCGAAGCGATGAAACGATGCGCAAAAAAGAATAACATACCATTGGTCCTCCACTAATATGTTGAGTAACTTCCAATCGATATTTGCTGATCGATTGATTTGGGTTGAGTACGCACTGGACTGCAGCAGTTTGTTCTCTTCTAGCAATCGATCAGTTGGCTCAGACTGTTTTCAAGTTTGTTTCTTACTTTTTCCACGTCTGGTCTTTATTAACTGTTCGTTTGCTGCATCATCCAGGTCGATCATTCCGGCGACTGGATCCATTGAAATCTGAGTCGGTTCCGGTACAGCTCTTCTCGATTCCGGCCGGAATTGCACAGGAAATATCCGATCAGCTCCTGACCGTTTCCAGCTCGAAGTTTGCAGGAAATGGTCGGAAAACGAACTTAACCGGCCGGAACCGACTATGCCATAATAACCTGGGCAGTCGTATGCCCATGAGCATACGCTACCGTGTTTAACCACGAAAGATTTTTGCTCGAATCGTTTTCCGTTTTTGCTTCGGCAATCACGAACATATGATCGATTTCTTGGAGTAAAGCACGGTTGGTCTACAATACTGGAATATTTGCTCAATTGAAAATTTCTTCTTCACTAACTTCGTTTTTGTAAGTTGTTGTGTAAGAGGTGGTGTATGTGAGTTCTGTTTATTATGGTAGTATGAACACACGCACAGATAAAACGTAAAGAAAGAAGAGAGAGAACGGTGATAGAGGGCGGAATGTGAGTGCCAAGAACGACAAGAAACACGCGTATATATATGTGTGTACACTGGATAATCCCAACATATGTTAAGTATATGTGAAGGAAAACTTCAACACATGACGTAATGGAATAGTCCATCCAACAGAGAAGAAATCAGCTTCGATGATTCTTTTGCATAAAGTAATATAACTGAAACCGTCGTTTCGTATAATGTACGACTGGAAAAAAGAGAGTCACAAACAGGCCCGTGTGAAGGATACTGATATCCCTATGTTCTACGGCGTTTCAACACGTGACGCTTTCGATGGAGCTATTTCTTAATGGCTATGGGGCACTTCGGCTGGTTAGACTTTTAAGATCAATTAATCAGCATATTGCCCTTTGGTAACATCCGGTCGTAAGGATAAAAGCAGATTAGAAATGTTAGTCCATAGTCGTCCAATAATCTCGCATTAGCTGTACTGTATGTAGTCAAAGGAAAGCTTATTTAGTTCATCAGTTCAGTAAGATCCCGACAAGACTCATAATGCTTTACGATGCAGTTTCACATCATAGTACTCCGTGAAATGAAGAGATAAACTAAATATGCTTTGCTTTGACTATATACAATACGACGATACACCGACAATTGAGCCCCGACAAATGAGCCCCGACAATTGAGCCCCCTGACAATTGAGCTCCCGACATTTCAGCTCTCGACATTTGAGCCTAATTTATTAATTAGTGAAATCGCAGATATAGTCTTAATCAATAAGTGGACTATCTGAATGTGGTATCCGAAAACATGCGACATCTTTGATCTAGTTTCAACTTTACTGATATGTATGGTGATTAGTGAATCATATATACAGAAATAGAAGAGAATTAAACTTCTTTCATCCATACATTTTCACATTGTTCTTTCTATCAATCGATTGCATTACTACACAATGTCTATTATTAAATCATCAAAAAATCAAGATAAACTGTTACTCGATGGGTTCAGTTATCGTCGCTCAAATAATTCTCAATCCATATGGCGCTGTTGTAAAAACAAGTGCGCTGGTCGCGTTCGCTTCGAGGGTGGTAAATATACCGAAACAACAGCTCATGTGCATGCACCTAATCTGGAAGAAAATATTTCATTGGAATTTAAATCGAATATTACTGATCGTGCAACAGCATCCCATGATCCACCTCGACGTATTATTCATCAGGCTTTATTGAAAATAAACAAAACGAATGGTGCAGCTGTACCAAGTTACACATCATCTCAACGTACTATTGAACGAAAACAAAAAAGACAAGATTTACCTTTACCTACACCTATTTCATTTTCTGATATTTGTATTCCTGATGAGCTTAGAATAACAAATAATGGTGATAGATTCTTATTGTATGACAATGGTGATGCTAATCATAGGGTGATAATTCTTTCATCTGATAATGATCTCGATTGTTTATCAAATTCTGAACACTGGCACTGTGATGGTACTTTCAAGATACGTTTGATGATCATTATTCATATTGAAGTAACCTTCTCATCTCGAATTGTTTCAGATTTGTCCTAAAATTTTCAATCAATTATATACTATTCATGGGTGTTTGTTGGGACGAGGACTTCCACTAGTCTACTGTAGCATTTACGCACAGTCTGAAGCAGTTTATGGTGAAATCTTTGAAGTTATTCTCAAACATCTGTCTCAACGTCCGAAATCGATAACTATCGATTTCGAGAAAGCAGTTGAAAATGTTATAAAACAACAACTACCGATGACTACAGTTAATTACTGTTTTTTTCATATGAAGCAAGCTTTGTGGAAACGAATCACAGTTAGTACCAGCATGTAAAATAATTCCATTGACATACTTTATTTTGACATTTTAGGGCCTTGATTTACAACAATTATTTCTTGATGATGCTGAAGTTCGTGATAGCTTAAAGAACTTTGCATGCTTAACTTTAGTTCCTGAAGCATCTGTCATTGTTGAGTTTGAACGAGTACAAGCTGTTGCACCTGAATCGATCAACGGTACGATTTTTTCTATCACTAAATAAAGTTGATTAATTTTTGTATCTATTAAAGAGTTTATCGACTATTTCGAGGATAATTACATTGGACGACTAATTCGTAATAATTGACGTCTTCAACCTCGTTTTCCTATTTCCATGTGGAACTGTTACTCACGTTTAGATAATCAATTACCACGTACGATCAATTCAAGTGAGGGGTGGCACCGTGCCATCCAAGTACGTCAATTCCATATGAATTTTCCCCCATAATGTTTCTCTATTCTCTGTCAAGCATTCAGCACGGTCACATCCAACAATCTATGAATCAATCAAGGATTTGCAAGTTGAACAATTACAAGCCGGACGTGTTAAGCCAAGAAGACGCGCAAAATACGAACGTTTGGATAAACAACTACAACAATTAGTCTCGTCTTTTCATGTTACAAAAAGAGAACTATACTCCAAACGAGCAAGAGTTCTGTTTCGCTTCTAATATACATATTACACTTATTGAAATAAATTTTCTTCTATTCTACATAATTTTTTAAATTAGGCTCAAATGTCGGGAGCTCAACTGTCGGGTCACAATACGACTGATCTTGCTAATCTGCTTGTATCATTCTGGGTGGATGCTGGCAAAGAGCAACATGCTCGCATACGGCTTGGTAGCAGGTCGGAAAGGAATCAATGTGTCGTCTTTTTGGGAAAAACGTTAGTGAAAAGTGATAAATATTGGATAGACATGTGCAGTAGAAAGCGTCAATCAACTTTAATCACATTGAATTCACTTTTGTTATAATATGACAACAGAAAAAGCGTTTGCACATATTGAAAAGCAGCAGCGAAATCTTTTCCAGTCAGTTCTTCTGGAAACATTGTCGAATTCGTGTTCGATACTGGGCAATAGCCTTTCGTAGTTCAGTTTTATATAAACTTGATGGTAATATAAAGATAAAACATGTGATAATTGACGGAATAAATGAAATAAAATATCCACAAAGATATAACCATGAATCATTATTTGATTTTAAACATTTTGATATAAACGATATAACTAAACGCGGCATTGAGAGAATAATTAAAACAATAGGTGCAATAACTAAATGTTGATGTTGTTGAAATTGTTCACGAGCGATTTCTCGAATAGTTTTTCGATTGTTCTTCATCTTGAATTGTTGTTTAACTACTTTTGTGATGAGAATAATTGTTGAAACAATATTAAGTAAAAAGGGAAGAAAAAAATGAAAAGAATTCAAAATTGTGTTGTAAACTTGTAAAGTTGACGAATAACGCACAATACACCACAATCGCTTCATATCATTTAATTCTTCATTTTCTTCTTTGATCAACTGTCGATTGATTGGATCATGAATATTAGTAGCAACAATCATTAAAATAAGAATAAGAACAACTAATTTTGCTAGTTTTTTACTTTTGTCCTTCTGAAATCGAACTCCTTGAGCAACAGTCATTGCTCTTTCAATAGCAATAAAAGCATCAAGCCAAAGATCAAGGTAAAGAGAAGTTTGAAGAAGAAAATCAATCGAATAACATTGAATTCGTAAGAACGATCGATTCGTTAAAACGTTCATTTGTGCTGAAATTAATATCGAATATTTCAAGCCTAACAGAACCGTTGTAAATAAACTTGTTATCGAGGTTCCTAACAGATACAAACCACAACCCACTTCTCGAATAGTTGCTCTTTGAAATGTAATCAATGCAATAATACTATTCAATAACCCAATGGAAAAGAAGAGAATAGTTAGGATTAAACTAAATTTAACAATCGACGATTGACGAACAAATGTCAGATTCGGAATAATATGATAGCCAAGAATAGCATCAAGTGATAAACCGAATCCACTCGTTGTGAATTGACATTGTTTTCCGTAATAGCACGAACGACAAGCACATATCGATCGCGTTGGACATCGGAAACTATCTTGAAAACATTGACCATGATTTTCACAAGCACTTTGACCCGAACAATCAAATGTTTGATTATGTTGAAATTCAAAACAATTTGCCAAACTTTTATTAGTTTTGTGTTGATAACATAAACATAAATGTGTATCATCATGAAAACAGGCCAGATTTAGTGATTGGTTGAGACATGGTAAATGATAATATTTCATTCGATGAAGAGGGTGAAGTTGTAAAAAGGTTTCATTGAAGATTTCATTGATTGGCAGGCAGCGATCTGATGGATTTATTGTTACTAGTTCATCTTTTGATGAGTGATTCTTATTTATAGTTGAATATAAATAATAATTTTTGTTTAAATCTTCGAGGAAAATTAAATGAAACGTGTCAAACCAAAACAATTCGATTGTCTTTTGTCGGAAATGATGAATCGATTGGATTATTGTCGTTCTTTTTGGATCAGCCTGATTGACTATTTCAATAAAATGAATAAATATCGATTGAAACAGAACAATATCATCATGAAATGATATCGTCAAATGATAAGTATGTTTAAGCTGACATCGATTTCCACTGTAACCTTTTGGACAAATACATACAAAACTTTCTTTTAATACAGGATGTTCATTGTATACAATGCATTGACCACCATGTTGACAAGTCGAGTTGTCGTTTTCACATATGAAATGAGTGAGGAGACATCGAGGACCAAATTTATTCATTGGACAAATACATATCGATCGATTCGTTAAAGCTTTCCCAAGACATAATGAATCCGATGAACATGAACACTTATGTTCAACCTGGCAATCTTTTCCCGACCATCCTGGATCACATTGACAAAAATACTCATTTGTATTGGCATATTTCATACATTTTCCATTTTGACAAGACTTCAATGAACATTTGAGATCATTTTCAGCTTTTCTTGGAATTTCAATAATCATTGATAAACGATAAACAGGCAGAAAGGTAAATAATATAGGATATAAGAAACTTGCTCGATGTTCAAGAGAATATTTTTCATAAATATCAATATGTATAAAGTATTCTTTTGTTGGATCTTTGCTTCGGTTTGAATAGAATAAATAAGTATTAAACTTACTTTTACAATCGTCATTTGACAGATAACTGTACTGTTCAGTTGAATGAATATGTTTTTCAGTTGTATTATCAATAAGTAAAATACTGATAACAAATACTGTCTGCCAAGAATCAGAGAATGCTCGATAATAAATTCCAAGACTAATGCGTTGCTTTTGGTATTGACATTGGGAGCCATAATAGGATGGGAGACAGAGACATGTGTATCTTTTTGAATTATTTGCTGAAATATGAACAACAATTCCGCGATGGCAATTGTATTCAGATTTATTATTCATTGAAATAGCCGGTAATGTGCTCATTTTCGAAGGTTCATTCATTTGACTTGAGACTATTGTTCTATCATGTCTTTCATTCATTGAAAAATATTTTCTCTTCTTCTTTGGACATTCCCACATTGTATTTTCACAAAACTCAGAGATAAAGCCCAATGATATGTTATCTCTTTTTACCGTACAGTTCTGCTTTGGTCTATATGAGAATTCAGGGAGCCAATTTTGCGTATCACTTTCGTATAGAATATTCGTATATGGAGAACATTTACATACGACACCAGTACAGTCTTCAACTGTTGGACCATGTGTAGGACAATGAAATTCACTATCATAAAGGCATAGATTTGGCTCATCAAAAGCATTGTTACAATCAATTCGTCCGTCATTGATTTTCTGAACCGGCAAACATATCATTTGTTTTGTAGCAGCTGAAATACATGCATGAAAATTTAAAGGGCACTTAAATTTCAATTTCGATGGACAATTAGTTTCATCAGCACCATCTGGACAGTTCCATACTTCATCACAAGCGGTATAATAATTATTACATTCCCAATATTCACATCCCGTTTCATCTGTTATATTTCTGCCGGTGTCCAGAGATCGATAGATCTCTGTATATCCATCGCATAGAGTTTGAAACGATAAAAGATGTTTGTCATGTCCCATCACATCTGGTTCATCTTCTACATGAACAAATCGAGCAATACCACAATGTGGAAAGCCGTCAGTATATTCTCTAATCATAAGATGTTTATTATGCATTGGACATACGAATTGTTCATGCTGTGGTCGTTTTTTTATAAAATCATCATTGCTGGTGAATAGATCTTCATCATCGAAATATGGACAATCTACATGTTTATCTCGGAAACGATAGGCAGGAATACATTTGTTTGATCCAATACATTGATACATCGCTGGTTCATGACAAAATACTGAAGACGAATTAATAATGTAATGGTAACTGTTATAAAACTCATATACTCTATGTAATATTCGTAAAAAGTTCGAACTAAGATGTGGTGGCACAACATTTTTATTTTCGAAAAACTTCTCCGATCGAAAGCATGTTCGATTATTAAAAACGATTACCTTGATATCACTGGAAAAGTTCTGATGCTGAGGAGGATTGAAGCAAACATATGGATAAAGATTATTTTGAATAACATCGCCTTTTGAATAGAGTAAGTAAACATCATCAGATAAAATTGGAAGATTTGGCATATAAAGTAAATCTGGGCATTGATTTTCAATTAGAATTCGACAGTGATCATCTTTACACATATCTGTACAGAATTTGAGTGCATCATCGGGTACTTGAATCATACATTTCAGTGCTGACCAGCAGTCCATCGATACCGAATCATTATTAGTTGAATAAGACCGTTCGATTAAAGTCTGAATTCTGCCATAGAGACAAGAACGTGAGAAAAATGAACGGCGACATACTGTATCGTCTTCGGCAAAACCTAGAATTCCTAAGTAATCGGCTTCGTCGAATTGATCAAGACAATCACGTATAAATGGAGAATCTCGAAAGAATTCCAATGGTATACATTGTCCACTGTAACATTGAATTTCATTATCTTTACATTGATTGACTTCCAATTGCCAACAATGTTCTTCATCAATGCCATTATTAAGACAATCGATTTTTTCATCGCAAATTTCCGTCCAGTCTAAACATGAGAAATTCAATCTGTACTCGCAATTCAAATCAATGTAACATGTAAACGCTATTTTATTAGATCGAGTTTCGCTGTAGACATTCCAGATAAGATCGCTGAAGCTACTATTTATAGACATCGAAAATTCTAATTCATATTGACACATTTGACCAAATTTGGGAAATGAGCAGTTATAATAAATTGTTTCTCCTAATGCTGAATTACTTGATGTTGATAATCCATTTAGATAATATTGATAGTCTTCAATTAGATCGATTGGCGTGGACCAGAGCAATAATTGTTCAGCAGTGATGTTGTTTTTCGAGAGATTAGCAAAAGTGAATTGAGAGAAGAAATTTACTTCATCAATGGAAATATTTGGTAATAATTCATTCAAACACAAATAAAATTGTTGATATTCCCATACTTGTAACGTGGAATTAATGCGTATAAAGCGTAAACAACTGTGATCCATTGTATAATCATCATTCTTCAATGACTCTATCTCATTTGTATAATAAAGATTCAGTAATGTTTCGGCACAAGTAAATCCAATTAGAAATATAAAATAATAATGAAGTTGTTGAGAAAACATATTTTATCGCTAATGAGAAAAGTTTTATAAAACGCAGAGTATTTATACGGAGTTATATATTTATCTAGCAAATATATGTAGTTGTTGTGACACTTCTGGAAAATGCGGGATAAAAAGAGGCAGATACTTGATTTTAGTTGATGTCATTTACAATTACAAAGTTTGTGACACATATTTAACTGATATTTTACTTATGAAATCTGTTATAGAATTTACTTGTAAATGCGTGTGTTGCTTAGATAAAAAAGTTTTTCTTGCTGTTGCTTTGTAAAATGAAATATCTAGTTGAAGTATCCCGGAGCGGTCCAGATTTTGAATGAGGCTATCAAACTTCCCGATATTTATTTATTTTTCTTTTGATTTCTATCTTTGCTTGATCGACAACCAATAAGAAAACACTTTGATTTCGACACTGAAAGAAAATAAATGTGACAGAATGTTCAACTTTGCTGATGTGTATGTATATTTGTATTAGCAAATAGAATTGATACTGTGTTTATAATGTGACAGTTAGTGAATAGTGCGGTAAGAAGAGATCGACACACACCCTCAAAGAGTCATGTTATTATTGGGAACAGTTCTAATTCTGACGAACGATAAATTTTTGTATTCAATGGTTGTGTGTGTTGACAACATAAAGATTATCCTGCCGATCAAATGCTATCTTGGCGAGATCACACGAGATATCATCGTTTTCCTTAACTTTATATTGTTTGGCAACGATTTCATCAATGAGTGTTCCTGGAGTCCAACGTGTGATTTCGCAATTGTCGGCATCTGACACATAGACGTTTCCCATAAGATCAACAATCACTCCGGCAACATGAATTTCACGGGTAGGGCTCCCCGCAGAAAATCTTGGACGAGCAACAACTATACCTTCTTGTGCATCTTCTATCCATTTCATTATTCGACTGTTAAAAGTATCTGCTAAAGAAACTGAAACATTTCGATCGACGAAAATGAAAGGAAGAGAGTGAAGTTGATTTAAAAGAGATACATCCCCATTTCTACCAGCTACTTTTGTGCCATCTGCTTCTCCATGTTTCCAACGTCTGACAACATGATAGTGATAATCACTAACATAAAAATTTTCATCATTATCCATGGCTATACCGTAACAGTGAATAAAAGAGATCAAATTTTGTCGATCAAAAGCAATAATACGAGACCAGCTCATTATACGATCATTTTTATTATCGTATAGGATAAGAGAATGTTTTTACTTATAGAGAATCACATCTGCTGGATTATTTAGTTGATCTATCTCATTTCCGCCAGCAAAAACGACACCGCTCGTTGTACCGAAGAATATTTTCACTACACGATGATTCGAAGCATCACTGATACACATACATCGATCGTCATCATCAGTTTCCGGTGGATGTGGGTGAGTTTGAACAATTAACTACCACAAATCGATTTTCATCACGATTAAATGATGAATCATCAGGCGGTAGAATAATCTGCATAGTAGAAGGTGTGAGTCAAAGCACGCCATGATCACGATTTCATCCTTGCTAGAGGAATCATCACATAGTTTAAGACTGCGTAAGCTACCCATGTCGAAAAATCCGGTCCGGAACCGACCGGCGCCGGTTTTTTCCGAACATTTCATGGAAGCAAGATTCCAGATCGGATTCAACCGGTTGAAATCCGTCCGGTTCCAGCACTATCCAAACGGAAAAGTAAGGAATCCCAAAAACAACTTCCGGAAAATTCCAACGAACCATAACCTCTCGGAACCTATCAAAACCGAACCAATCCGACAAAATCATACCACACATCTATCGAATTCCCGTAGAACGCATCTTCGCATACTACCGAAAACGCACAACACAATGCTGTCCATATCCATTCCGCTAAGAGGAAACAGACGAACTCCAAACAGCCTTCACTCCATTTCAAACAATTCCAGCCCAAATAGCAGAAAAACAAACGCTCCTGGATATCAAATTACAATCCGATCCCACGATTGCCAGCGCATTGTCCAGTGGATTGCAATCGGATTAGCAATCCATCCAAATGAGTTATACGTGTTCAACTCGCAAAGTTCGGGTAGGATTGTGATCGCATTGGGAATGGAGTAAAATGGCTTATACTTGTTAAAGTTGCTGTAACGATAATGATATCGTTCATCTCTTTCTGTTCTTTATTCTCTCACCTCTTTATCATACTATCTCCGAGTCATATCTCTCTTTCCTCTTCTCTATATAAGCACGTGTCTTATTGCGAAAGAGATACATTCTGGTCATGTAGAGTAGTCAATAAACATCTATACCGTGAGAAGCGGTCAGCTACTCAACCAGTTTGTCATTACAGTTGCTTGTTTCGTTTTGAGTTGAAACGTGGAGTGTAATGGTGAAATATGCTTTCTGCAGTCAGATGTGGGTTATACATGGAGTTTTTGGTGGCCTTTGGTATTGGGGATGAGTTGTTTTGAAGGAGTGTGGGGCGTGATGCTCTGTTTTATGTGATTTTTATGGCGGAATTTTGACATTGTTGATGGAAAACGTCGGAAATGGTGGGAATTGAGCGGTTATGTGTTTTCCCGGTGGTTTACGTTTCCTGGGTTTAGATGGGATCCCGTTGGTTATTGGCAGAGTTTGGTTTTCGGAAACGGCCGTACACGCGGTCTGTTGCGGGAATATTGTGTTTTTTTTGGAAAGATGCGGGCAACTTTTTTGCAGATTTGCGTTTTTTTTTTGTTTCCGTAGGTTTATGGCGGTATCCGGTTATTTTATTTGGTGGTCTCTCTTCTCGGATTTAGGCGGCCTTGCCGTTTTCCGTGCGGATATTGGTGGAAACCGGGTAATGGAATCAGTGGGGACATCGGGGATCCGTTTCCGGGGCATTCCGGTTTGGAACACTGCTTCAACATTCCTACGGCTTTCCGTGGGGAATCGATGGGATATGGACAGAACGGGTCGGAATGAGCCGGAAAAGGGCTGCTTTCCTGGTGGATCCGGTTGGATCCGGAGGCCGGAACGTTCGTCCTGGTATCCAAATGATCCGAAGATCACAGATAAGCCTACATGATCTGCGTAGTTCGATAGACAGCTGATATGAAGGCTGTTCGGTGTACCGTGTAGGTGGTTGCGAATGGTACAATATCTATTATGTTCGCGTTTTTTATATAGTGAATTATGGCGCTGGGAAACAATGAGGTGAATGAGTAGTAACATCGGATTAGAGTTACATCTTATGGAATATTATAGATCTTGTGTTTATTTGTCTAGTGAAGGATGGCGTCAGAGAGCGAAACGAGGCAATATTTTGCTGCCTCGCCTCGCCTCGACATTTTTGGACGTTACAGAAATTACTATTGAGAATATATTTGTTAACCCTACTACTACCAAACTCTTTTGCAGCTTCTCAGCGTACGAATATATTCTAGAATAAGTTTCTATACGAATATTTACTGCGTCTAAGACACATTCATTTAATCTGAAAATCACTGATCTTTCATTCTTAAGATTTCTGTTGCTTATTGACACTATCGATTCCAGAGAATAGATCAAACACACCCCACACTGCATTCACACAGATAATCTCACTCTTCATATATTGATGAAAATTTTGCGCTATTAAAAACTTTAACTCTATTATTAAGTTTATTGTTGCTACGATCAAAATGGTTCCAGTTGGTGGCACTACGGCTAAGAATATAACAGTTTCGTGATACTTTCAGTGTCCACTGTGTGAGATTTTTTTACCTATCTCTTGGGAATGATTTTATTATTCCTAATAAGTCAACAAACAAAACAAGATATGAATCTTGAAATAATTTGAAAGTGATGTCTATCTGCCATCCGACCAGAAAATACAGATGATATAAGACAGAATATTATTAGTCCTTTCCTTATATCATTTATGTTTCTATAGTCATCTTCACTATCCTTCAAAAGTGTTGCAATTGATTATACAGTGTGAGAAAAAACTACTAGATGCTTCAGCGGATTTTAGAGAAAAGTCAGAATTTATATGCCATTCATAGATATCTGAATAAAAATGGATCTTAGATTTTCAAATTAATAGTTAATAACGTGGAATTTAATGATAAAACTACACCAAAGAGCAAACAAATAAAGTTGCCCATTCAGTGAGAAATATTATGCGCTTGTTGTCTATAAAATCAAAGAATCAAGAATATGGGTAAATTCTCAGTAATACTGATATCAGTAAAAGTCGAGGTGGCACTGCTCGCCTCGCCTCGCCTCGCCTCGACCACATGTTGCCTCGCCTCGCCTCGCCTCGACCACATGTTGCCTCGCCTCGACCACATGTTGCCTCGCCTCGCCTCGCCTCGACCACATGTTGNATGATGATGCAGACGATGAAGAGGGTGATGATGCAGACGATGAAGAGGATGATGATGCAGACGATGAAGAGGATGATGATGCAGACGATGAAGAGGGTGATGATGCAGACGATGAAGAGGATGATGATGCAGACGATGAAGAGGATGATGATGCAGACGATGAAGAGGGTGATGATGCAGACGATGAAGAGGATGATGATGCAGACGATGAAGAGGATGATGATGCAGACGATGAAGAGGGTGATGATGCAGACGATGAAGAGGATGATGATGCAGACGATGAAGAGGATGATGATGCAGACGATGAAGAGGGTGATGATGCAGACGATGAAGAGGACGAACACGAGGATGATGATGATGATGATGCCTCATCAACCATAACGAAATCGCTTGAGTCCATTTTAAAATATTTCACTTTATTATCTATAAATTATGTCTCGGTTCAACTAATAAGAGTATAATGACCATCTTTTCTTTTGTTTCATTATTTGAATACATATATATGTATAAATCCTCTATTAGACTTAGAAAACTGAATTTTGGTTGAATTACAGCGTCATCTATGTCTTACGTATACTTCGTTTGAAATTCTCTTTGTTAAGCAGAACGGACCTTTTCAAATGCTGGACGATTTCTTGAAAAACATTTTTTTCAAGGACATTTTGTCAGAGGACATTTTTTTAGGGGACAAAATTAAAAGGACATTTTTTTCGAAGACCAAATTTTGAGAACATTTTTTTCGAGGACCAAATTTTGAGAACATTTTCTAAAGGACATTCCTGCCATGATTCAATGTGAGTACATTCGAATGTGACAATAAATTGGGCATAGATAAAGAAGAAACTATAGATATATTGCATATTCTTAGTGCTATATTCGAGAAATATTGATTTTTGTTAAGCTATTTTTTTTATGAAGATTAGTTTTAATTGAAAAAAAATGAGTAATGAAAGAAGATTAAATTTTCATTTATTCGAAGATTATGTCATGTGCTTTCTTATCTTCAAAGAATAGAAAGAATCACAGCTGTGTATCAGGTATAAAAAAAGATGCTCGCATCACAATTCTGTTGCAAATCAATATAAATCATGGTTCTAAAAGCGATGTTTTATTGCATCGTCATTCTTTTCAGGTAATTGTAATACTCTTTATTTTTCTATTCATCTAACGCGAAAGCATTTCAATTTAAATCTTGAATTCATTTAGTATGACAATAGTTCATGTAAGCGGCCAATTATGCCAAGATACTACTCAGTATGGTCGGTGTTCGATGAATAATGCATGTGGCTGTCTTCATATGGCAGGTGCCAATAGTGTCGGCATTTGTGGTTTTCTCTACGGTTTTTGTTCTAAGCTAACTCCATGTGAATCGACAGATAATTTATGTGATGAACCTCATCATACTTGTGTTCATCATCCTCGATGCTCTTCGCATCCTGTTTGTTATCCACTGTCAATGATTGATCAACAACTGTGTCCACCAATTATAGGTAAGAAAATAAATCAGAATTTATAGGATTGAATAACATCTGAATTTTCTTCCAAAATAATTTTTTCATCATTCATATGTGGATTACACTGTATATAACATTACTGTTGATGTGTGAACGATGATGGGAATGAGTAATATTTAAAAAATAGATATAGCATGATGCAAACAGAATAAACGATATTTATTAGATAAAAAGCATTCTTATATCATGTTTCGTATGTGATATCTATCTTTTTTTGTAAGTACAGAAGGGGGAAAAGCGGCTATTTATAATAAACAACAGCGTCTTTGCATTCTGAATATCTGCTTAATTAAATTCAACTGAAACTTCAATTCGCTGAGTCCTATACTTCATTGTATCTAACACTAAAGATAAATATTTTAGACATATGTTTTTTATTAATATATAGTAACCAATACTACATCAACAACAACAACAGCACCGTCGACCACTACAACTGTGACGCCAGGTAAGCTTTAGATCAATATTTCTTAATTATTTGACATGATGATTATAAATTAGTTATACTTCCGTTAATTTTATATTCGCTATTATTCCATACTTAATTAAAATTGCATATTAAGAAGAACAGTAATCATTTGATTACAGAATCCTTTCATAAAGTATAGATTTATATACTGTACTTTGAATTTTTTACTAGAGATGTGAGACATATATATTTATAGATGAAATTGGAGATAGGTCAGTTTCATTTCGACTATTGAACTGCTATTTTGTGGAGGTAGGGTCCAGCGGGATTGTCTCGATCCCGGTCGCAATTCCGCCGAGATCAGAATTGGAAACCCGATTTACGATTCATTGAGATACTGCTCGGAATCTCGATCGTGATCCCGACGAGATTGGGATCGGGATGAAAATTTTCGCGACCTAGTGACAAACATGAACAAGTGTGTTCAAGCAGAGTTAAAATAGTCTGATCATTAACAGAAATACTTAGGATACATAACAAATAAATTCAGTGTCGAGGAAAAATTACTTTCTATCTGGATGCTGTTAATGTGCAAAGTGTTATGATTTTACTGTTAGATCTATTTTTCTCAATCATAGGATCTCTTCGTTGCTTTTTTGTCCCTCACAGAGTTTGGATACTAAGTACGGTACCTTGTACTTTTGTACTTTTTCCTCAAAAAATTTCAGTTACTTAGTATATTTTTTCAGTACATGGACTTGAAACACGTATTTATATTTTTTACTAAGTACTGATACTCGAATACTAATACTTTAGTACAATATACTTTAGTACAGGTACTACAGAACATGTGCACTGAGTACGGTACTTAGTACTTCCTATAAGTACATTTGCTTAATCGTTCGAATTTTTATACTTTTGTAAAATATATTCATAGGATGAATTGGAACATCGTTTAGAACATCATATAATTATGAAGTGCAATACTGAAACGAAAAATAAAATTTTTTATTAGTATGATGAATCAACAGTGAACAAATCGTCTTTTTATAAAACAAAAAACAATAAATGCCTATATTTATTTAATTATTATTGCTAGAAATTAAATAAAAATATTATTACCTGTAACAATGAATTAAGTGATCGATAGATTTTCATCTCTAACATTATATTCCTCCTATAGATGTCAGTAAGAACTGCATATAGCTAGTATAAGTGCTAGAAATAATTATTACAGCGACAAATAATATTTTTATTATAAGTACATGTACTTTTTTCGATACTAGTACAATGTACTGTAGTACAAGTACTAAAGTAACAATACTGTAGTACATATACTAAAGTACAAGGGCTGTAGTATATCAGTATTTAGTACTGTACTACAGTAACTGTACTCAAGTAAAATACTTGATATTCTAAGTACTAAGTGTATTTGCGAAGTAAAAAGTCTATGTACTGTAGTACCCTGTACTGTACTCGGCCGAACTCTGAGTCCCTCACCATATTCATTTGTCTCTATTGGCCTTATCTTTGATCATTTCTCTCGTTTCATTTTCGATGTGTCATTTGTTTTATCTGTCTTCACTAAATATTTCTGCCTTGCACTTCACAAATTAGTTTAATATAGCACCTAATTGGCACAAATATTGGAATGTACACATGAACGTCGCATTTCAGTCGACAAATAATACTAGCATGCAATGAGATCGAATAGTATCTCATTTGAAATGTGTGTGAAAAAACGGGTTTAAACGGGAACAGGATAGAAAACATCGTCCCATCAGACTCTGCGTTGAGGGTGTAGGTAAAGATAAGAGTTTCAAAGAAGAATAAATACCCGCATTTACATCCTTGTTTTTCCCCTACACTCATACATGGCACACCCACCTTACCGATGAGCATTTCCGAAAATTTCTACTCTATTATCTTGTAGAACAATGCTGCTATCTTTTTGCAGTTTTGAGCACCGATTAAATCGAATTTCATTGATCTGCTCACCTGCTTTATTCCCCTGTTTATTGACTGATTAAACTTGATTCTTTTAGACCTCTTATCGAGTTAACAATGCGATCAGACTCAAAGATAAACATTTTCTTGGAAACTTAGTAAAAAATACATTCTTATACATTGCTCGACATGTCAATAAGTTTTATAATAAGAAACGCTTATTCTAGAGATTCGTTGACCCTCTACTGAAAGGATGTGATGACATTAGTCACCAATCCTAAAATAACATAAAAACTACTTCCAACTCTCCAACTGAATTAGTTAGCCACTTCTCAAAACGCCTTTTGCCCTCGCCCGATTTATTCACAGAAAGCCTCACGAACAAACGACTAATCGTTCGTCGACCTCCTTTGGATCGCTCACCCTCAGCCCCGCATTGTAGCGAGTAAATCGATTTTCTTTTGATCTACATGAGTTTTGAAAAAATGCAGAAATAAAATTTTGTTGCTAGTTACAAACGAAGATATTACATTCTGTTTTAGCAAAGATTTTCGTGTATTTGGAGTGTGTTTATAACCAGGTCAAACAAAGCGCGATCGTAGACGATTGTATACGGAGAAAAAAAGCGATCGTTTATGGTCTTCGTGTACGAAACCGTATACGATCGACCTGATACTGTTTTAACATTTATTTCATCAGAAATCAATCCGCAAAAAATTGATATGTATTCTGAATCGAATTGGACAACCTTTCTACAACTCCTTATACATTGATGTTTTTTTAATATTATTCTGATTTGATATCTAAAAGATAACATAAACAATCAATTATAAAGTCATTAAGTAATTTTATATATGATTCGTAGATCGATAAACTATTTATATGATTTAGTTTAAAGTTGCTATGAGGGAAAATTCACTTCTTCACTTCTTTTTCCTGTTTAGGATGGACAATGACAACAAATATGAGTGTTGCACGATACGGTCATACAGCATCCATATTATCAAATGGTAAAATATTAGTTGCTGGTGGATATGGTAATAATGATGTTGTTCTCAACAGCGCTGAATCATATGATCCATTGACAAATACTTGGACAATGACAACAAATATGAGTGTTCCACGAAAATATCATACAGCATCCATATTATCAAATGGTAAAATATTAGTTGCTGGTGGATTTGGTAATAATCGTGTTTCTCTCAACAGCGCTGAATCATATGATCCATTGACAAATACTTGGACAATGACAACAAATATGAGTGTTCCACGATACAGTCATACAGCATCCATATTATCAAATGGTAAAATATTAGTTGCTGGTGGATATGGTGAATCTGGTTATAGTTGGAATAGTGCTGAATTGTACTGATGAATATTGGCAGAATTCTGTTTCTTCATTTTTATTTCTATAATACGTAATCCTCTCGACAATAAAGATCTGAAAAGCAGAATTTATCTAACACCTTTTATTCATAAGAGAGTATTTCAAAATTTTTGTCGGTCGGTCGGCTGCTCTGGCGCTCAGCCATTCGACCGGTAGGCCACTATGCCGCGGCGAAAAGACATAAAATACATTGTTCATGCTGCTGCTGCTGCTGAGCGGCCGGCAAAAGTTTTGCAATGCTTCTTAATGGAACTTAGAGAACAAAAATATCCTTAGAATGAAATCGAAGAGAAGGAAAACTGAAAACATAAAGCATGAAGAAAAAATAGAAAGATGCAGATGAGCGCATATGATGCACTTTAGCGATTTCCAAGATATTGGATTTGTTCTTTGTGCTAATATGACATAATAGATAAGTTACGTATCTTGAGGGTGAGACTTGTCATGATCAGTTTCATCGTTTTTTAGGAAACTCGTTAGATATCAGAGTATTTCATACATATATTTTAAAATTAAATAAAGCACACCGTCGAATTTGAGCATGAATCTGCCACTCTCGTGAGGAAAAATTTCCTCTATTCAGAGAGAAAGAGCATAAGATTCTGAGTCAGTGGCGGCGGAGCGTCTCGAATCTGGGTGAGGCTCAAATTTTTTTCTCTGTTGTCAGTTTTTGTTAAAACAACGAAGTGAATATAAATCGGCTTTTTATTGAATCCACTTAGAAACTAAAACGGTTATAAAGAAACAGAAACGACTAAAAGACACCAAAAAATAGCTTTCTTTGTTCATTCTTGGATATAAAAGTTGAACAAAGATTTTTTAAGTCAAGAGAATCTGTCTTTTCTTTATATATATGTGTCAAAAACACACTATTTAAACGAGTTTGAGTCATTGTTGATCGCAAACATGTCTTCATTCGGTTCGTCACAGAGAAGGAGCGTTCTGCCATAGCGGTAGTCACTGGCACTGTCAGATAAAGCTGTAAGAGGCGGCTGTATTGGTGAAATATTGATTTTCCAATTGGTTGTGCATTGAATACATCAATAATCGGCGATATTTTTGTTACTTGTTTGATTCCCATTTCATTGTCACGAATAACTGTTTGGAAAAAGTCAAAAATCATTGTACATTCCTGTTTCAACCTATCACAATCAACATCATCGACAATAAAATCATGAATTTCCGAGCAAATCTTCTCAACAGTAATAGTATCACAACCATTCACAATCATAATTAAAAATTCTTGCGCTTGACATAATTGAGAAAAAATAGATTGCTTAAACCGATTATTCAATGCTTTAAGTATTTCATCAATAACATTTTGATACTGTTTTTTGTACAGATCGGCACATGTTTGTGGTGGTTGAGGTATTATTGTGGTATCAGAAATGAATCGAGAAGGTGGTCGACGAATGCGTGGTAATTGTGGTTCATCTGTTAAATATTCTGATTCAGTCATCACTTTTAAATAGAAAGTTCCAAAATACCGGTCGGATTTGATACGATTAAGATAATCAATGAGAAAATTGACAGCACAAAGCACATCGTGTAAAGAATTTTCTACACGTTGTAATGAGAATGATACTTCTTCACTAGCCACGAAAATAAGATGTCCTAATCAGATAAAAAAGTTAAAGGTGTTTTCAAAAAAGTGTCTAACTCAAAAATGGAAGTAGGCTTCATTTGTCTAAGGAATATTAGCGAATCTTTACCTAGTTTCAGACCAAAAAATGTTTGAAAATTCTCCATTTGATGTAACCATCCAGCTGCTTTGATTGCACTTGGATCTTTTTGATCAACTACTTCTTGCATTACAGATTTCACCAACTGATAATTAGATAATAATGAGTTCATAGATGCTGCTCGAACAGTCCAACGAGTTGGACACAGAGGCTTTAGTTGAGAAGAATTAATAGATAAATCGTGAGAGAGTCTTTCAGCAATATTCAAACGTTTTGGTGATCTTCGTACGAAATTAACTATATCTTTGGTAATATTAATAGCTACATTCATAGCAATGGATTGTTTCGATAAATCTTGTAAAGCTAAATCAAGATTATGCGCATTACAGTGAACAAAATACGCTTTCTTTTGTCTTCGAAGAATATTAGCAGCTACACCGTCATGTATACCACTCATCGTTGCTGCACCATCGTATCCTTGACCACGACAAGCATTGATGTTCAAATTGCAACGAAGAAGAACATCAAGAATGACTGTTGTGATGTGTGCAGCATTTTGAGACTCCAATTCATAAAGACCAAGACAGTCTTCGTGTATACCAAAACAATCATCTATTGATCGACTCGCAACGCTCAGTTGTGTTTTCCCCGATTCATCAGTTGATTCATCACAAATGAGAGCAAAAAAAGGTCGTTTCGAAATCTGAAGTATATATAAACACAAGAATATACAACGTAAAGTCCGACTTTAAGATTTACCTCGAGACATATATTTCGTAAAATCATCAGCGACATTTCTTTGGCTAATTCATTGATGATGTCGTGAGACAAATACTTCCTATCAATTAACCATTGATCAAGACCTGGAATATCGGCACTTCTCAATCGCATTAATTGGAATAGATTTTCATCTTCCTCATTGTGACCTCGGAAAGCTATTCCCTGTCGTAAAAGGTACTGCAACGATGAAACTTCTACCAGTAACAATCGTCGTCTTTGTTCTTGCTGTTGTTTAGCTACCGTATCAAGCTGTGTGATGACTGACGGCTTTGATTGTTGTTGTACCACATATAAACATTCGGAATGAAATCTGCTGCTGTTATGTTGAGAAAGTGCACGAAGAGCGTTTTTCCAATCAGAAAATCCTGAAGTTATCAATAACGTTTGTATTGATAAGTTATTCAGTTGATGTAATTTTTGATTCACTGCAGCTCGACAATAGAAGCAGTACACTTTTTTTGTTGTCTATATATCAGAAATTATTCAAAAAACGTAATATTCTTCTTTCAATAAAACGTACTTTGCAAAAAGTAAGCCATGAATACGGAGTGAACCATGCTGCTCGACAGGATCGTTTGTCTTTTCCCAAAGTTGATTCCAATTCGAACTCATTCGTAGGTGTATATACTGTTGGTGACGTACAACAGACTAATGCACATTGTGATAAATATTCTTTTGATTGATTATCAATCGATGAAGTAGGTAAATGTTTCTCCAGTTCATCATTAATAATAATAACAGATGAATCTAGACATTCATTCAGAGCTTGTTCACTATTTACTTCATTAACATCATTGATTGACGTCGGTGAATCAGTAACTGATTCAGTATCTTCTGTTGACTTTGTTA